TGCGCTTTATTTTAGGAATGAGCAAGGACGATGCAAAGAAGGCCTACATTGCAGCCGCTGAGAAAGCTATCGCCGCTATCGGTTGCAATCCATAAAATGCTCATTTATATCTTTTTGTTTTGAACAACATATTCATGTAGTAGCTGTTTTTCTTACTTTGTGCAATTTGTATTGAAATGGTGTTTAGTAATAAAGAAAAAAATGGTCTTCTGCTCACCACATACAATGAACACGGAAAAATAGCCTATAGTGACTGTGATGACCACACCGACTACTTACTTACAATGGATGAAATTTCATACTGATTGAAATACTCAATCGAACACCGTAGGTATGAATAAAACATCTCAAGTTTAGAAGGAATAGGACATATATGATGTATCATTGAAACAATATTAACGTGTAGTTATCACGTTTGTACTGAGGTTCAAAGATATCTTTTAATCCTATCATTGGTATAAAATGCTATGATGAAAGGCTTTAGAGTTCTTTAGAGTTAATAGTAATGTGACCGAACTCTTGAGATTGAAGTGGAGTATTGGGATTTTCTCAAACATAGAGGTAGAGAAGTTGCCTGAAAATTGAAGTTTAAACAGTTACTGGAGAGAACATACAAGGAGGTTTTTTTCTTTTTGCTGAAGGTTCATACCATCCATTTCGTGCTTGGAAATACTTTTTTTTCAAATGTAAAGCTTTGCAGCTTTCTAGCCTTGCCCTTTCAGAAACAGCTAATTATTATTATGTAAAAATTATCGTCTTTATTTTGAGAAACAGCGTAATTACTTTCAATGTATGATTTTGAAACTAAGTTAACTTCTCTCAAATCAGATATATTGAAGTTGTTCATGATCATAAAGGAGAATGGCGGTCTAGCTCGTGAAATCAGGCAGTTTATGTAGTACTGGAGCTGTGAGCCTTAACAGTTTTTTGAATGGTAACCTTGTTGTACAGCATCAGTGATGCGTTCAGTATTTTGTGGAAGTGAAGATGTGCAGAGAGCCCATATGCGCCTACAAACATTCGATACGTCGCAAATGCGTACTGTCATAACTGATTTCATCCTAGATTCAGTTCTCTATCATTTTTTCCCCAAATCTTTCAGTGTCTAGCTTGTATTTAGTAGAATTTTACTCTAAACGTTGCCCTCGACTTGAAAATCAGTGACGTAAATTGCGACACGTCGATGTTTGTGGGCGCATACGAGGTCTCATAGACGTAACAGTAGAAATCAACGAAATTCTGTCTGAGACTAACCATAATTAGGTCTCAGCATTTGCATAAGCAGGAATCGTTGCTGAGCTGTCTGAGTGAGAAGAGACGCCTATTCCTTCCAAAAGGTGCCGATGATGATGACAAGGCTGTTGCGATGGCAAAGCTCGCATCTGTTGAAGAAATTCTTATCAAGAGACAAGATCTCTTGCAAATCAAACATAGCTTACTTTGCCTGCAATGCCTTTTAAAAATGCATCAATAAAAGTATCAGTAAATTCTCCGACCACGTCTTTTACACAATGTGGACAAACATTGCGAAATGGTTGACTTCTGCAAAAATAATATTTTGAGGACGAAAAAAGCATGATGAGTTAGCGATGATAGCGTAGTCTTAGTAAACATTACATTTTGAAAAGAGAGAGTAACTCTAAGAAGATTTTATTGTGTATGGTGTAAATGCACACTCTATACCAGTTCCAGGGCGCCATGCAAACATCTACTCTACACCAATGTCTTCTGTTATTATGGCTTGCAATTAAATCATAAACATGGCGAAATCTACCTTTTTGTATAGTTGAGATATATCGTGCTATGCTTACTGTTAGATATTTGTGCGGCGAAAGTTGAATATATAGAAGTGTCTTGTTAAATTATTTGTAGTATATTACCAATAATGGATGAACATCCATCAATCTAGTTACGTTTTGTCAAAAGAGGCAATTTAACCCAAAGAAAGATCCTATATTACTTACGTATTATATGGCGGGAGAGAATTCCAGTTCATAAACTGGTTCAGAGCTGGCATAGTTTGTGGGTGCGCAGGGTTATTGAGCATAGCGTTCTGAAAAATAGTATAAAAAGTTCACTACGTAAAATTAATTAAAGCGCAAATTTATTTTATTCCGTACGACTCTGGAACTTCCTAAGAACATATGAGAGAGAGAGAGCTTACCATTGCTTGCTGCGTATAATAATTCATTAAAGCTGCATTAGCTGCATCCTGAGTTCCTACACCATTGTTCTGTTGTATGTAGGGAAACCACATAGGGTTCACGTTTGATTCAGTCTGATTAGAACCATTTTGTCCATTTAATCGCTAAAAGATTCTCATAGGTCATTGCAGTTTCATAATGTTAAATAAAAATATCAAAAATGTTGAAAAATGTTTTTGAGTTCTTAAAGAACCTATTCTCAAGTTTTTCTTGTCAATACATTCAGCTCAGGTATAGTTACAATCGGTTTATCTGCTTGTTATCAATTCAGCTTATATGAATTCTAGTTGAATCTAAGTTCCTTCATCTTTAAAAAGAGGAAACGCTGCGATCTTTTCAAGAATATATTTTTTAGAAAATGGCATCACCCCAACTCTAATTCGTTCGTGAGGGTCTTCCGTTAATTCGGTAGTTGCACTGCGAGATCGAAGCATAACATCGATACTCCTCTATAAAGTAAACTTTTTTTCGATTTGCTTGTGCATGTGGCAAACACATTTATTTCTTACTTGCTTCTCGTTCCTTCGGCTTGAGTTCGCAGCCCTTTGTCCGGATTCCACCGGGAATGAGGAGTTGGGGATCTAAAGCCTCATCGTGAAAAGGCTTCCGTGTAATTTGTTTAGCACAATCTTGAAGTCACAAAACTTAATCCTTACTAGTAGAATACTACTACATGCTAGCTTAATTCTGCAATGTCATATGTGATTACTTTAACTAAACAAATTTATGTGTACATACATTTAAGTCAGACAAAAACAAATTGTTTCTCTCCTCTCCATCCACTCTTAGGGAAGCAGATCTAGATCGATCATTAACCTTGTTCACTTGTCCATTGCAATTTCCCTGCAAAATTCTTACATTACGGACAATTATTACCAAAAGTGCTAAATGACAACATATTTACCGCTGATTTCTGTTGTGAACCATCAATCCTTCGCTTTTTATTGGTGTTTCTCTGAAAATCCGAGAAATTAAGCATATT